CGGGATACGCGTGTGCGATCGCGTAGGTATCCGAGAGTCGTTAAAGTTTCCAGTGAAACGAAAGAAATAAAAAAATATAAAAACAAACGTAGCAATCTTTCGTCGACAATCGAGAGACATTGTCGTTTTATAACGCACCATTCTGTTCTACCTGGTACGGTATCCTCTTTCGATATCCAATATTATCTCCCGTGGAACTCGAGCACGTAGATCGATCCGCGTTCTCTTCACGGATGATTCGCTTGTTAGGTTATACGTACACCGTCTGGACGACCACTTTACGATCCGTGGACTGCGAATGCGATAAACAACAGTGGAAGTTACCATTTTAAGGGTGGGTGCAAAGCGAGGTCAGCACTGTCAACGCCGGGACGAGCCGGCTAAGAGGATTCCCGTTCGTGAATCTCGTTAAAAGCGTGAGAGAGAGAAAGAGAAAACAGTGGAGAAGCAACCGCGCGAATCCCAACGACAGACCCACCGCGACGCGCGCGCTACTGTCGTTCGAATGCTCGACGTGTATATGTATAGAAATGTTTAGGGAAATCCTGATGGATTCGGCCTCGTACACACCTTTACACACCAGCTATTTGAAGAACAATAGGATTGATCCCGATGTTCGTTACGTGACAACCACGACGACACACGGGTGAACCGTAAATCGTGTGCTATCGATTCGTAAACGACGACTAGGGGTGCTTCGTTGATCATCGAAAAACGGGGCTTCCGATTGAAACGGAACGTTACTCGGGATATAGATACGCGCGATACCAAATCGTACATATTTCCTTCCCAAGCGTGCAACGTTCCTCGATGTACGTTACACCCTTCGAACATTTCTCCTCGAAGAATACCCGTTTCGGTGGCCCGCGATTCCCTTTGACGTCGCGCCATACAGGACGACGCGCTGGCTCCCGATGATCCGGAGAGAGCACCGGATTAATCCTGGGCAGATAGTCTCGTCAAAACGCTGACAGCCGGTTCTCGTTTGTCAAGGTGTAGGTACTCATACCTTCGGCATGCGCGAGCACAGGGAGAGAGAAAGAGAGAGAAAAAAAGAAGGGGGGAGAAGAGCACCGCTAAAAGTCGAAGTCGCTTTCGTCTCGGCGGCGGTACGGCCGTGGGCTCTCTTATAGAATTCCTAATCCTCGCCGAGATCTAAACGGTTGCCAATCATTTCCGGTTCTCGGATTAGTCGTGCGCGAAAAGTCGGGATCTCCGCCGTGCTAAAGGCCGTGAAACTGGCTACGGGTGAATCCCCCTCTCTCACCCTTCGCCCCCTAGAATCATCCACTGAGAGCCCACACGCCAACAATGGCGGGTTCGGTGGAGGACGAATGTTGGCTTCATAAGCGGATTACAAACGATTTGTACACGCGCCCCGAAAAACTTCTCTCCGTGTTCGACGCCGCGGCCGAGATTCCGGGTATTCCAGGCATTTTTTTTCCCTTTGGAACGTTGACACCGGTATACCGTTGGACAATCATCGAATACGCCTCGAATCGACCCGTTTAGGAATGACACTTTACCCTTTTTTCCTAAGTTACGAGGAAAGGTTGGTTGTCCACGGTATGAAATATTCTTTTCAAATCCTCGTACGATTCTGTTGTTCGTTGTCGTGCTCGACGTGGGGGTAGGCGAACCGCGGGGTCGTATGAAAATCTACGATTGATCGCGGGAGAATTGTCGGGTGGCGCGCGGGCGCGCTAGCGAGCGTGTCCGACGGCAATTACATCGGCGTTATACTCCTCCTAATTGGCTTTCATTAATTCTTTATTGGATTGAACGAGCAAGGTGGACAACGTGTGTGCACGCGGGACACCGACAATTACTCCCGCGAGATTAGATATGTATATAGGTACGTGAACACGAAACCGCAACGGGGATGTCGACGTCGCGATAACGCGCGTTTATTCCGAACATTAAAGCGATTCCTCCATGCTCGACGTCCGTATTCAAACAGTCGCGGACGTGTTTTCCCGTGGACAGAGAGAAAACGGGAAAACAACCGTCGATAAACATCCTGTCCCCGTGAGTAGCATCACCCTGCCGAGAAATAATTATCGAAGCGACGTTTTGTAGAGCGAGAGATCGCGTCAACCCCGTGTGCGTGGATAAAAAAAAACGAAACTCCGCTGATCGGCGGCCACGGAACGGTATCAAAAGAAACGATGTTCAGCGTCGAAAGCGTTTGATAGATCGAGAGGATGGATCGTGTATAATCACCGGTTCAATCATCCGTAAAGCGTGTTCGTCGGCAATTACAACGCCCGTTACTCCTTCTAATTGGGCTTCATTAATTCTTTAGCTGGCGTCCGACGACGACGATTAGTCCGCGTGAGGTTAACCGCGACCGATAACGCTGTCGAGCACAAGTTGCTCCGAGGGAAAACCATCGACATTTGCCTGGTTTATCGCGACGCGTATAGTTTAGTTTTTTTTGTTTTTATTCTCGCAAGAATATTCCAGGCTTTTAAATCACGGCTGGATCGCCATCGGGACAAGAACCGATGGACTGCTCGAGTCGTATTATCGTAAACTGTTTTCGTTTCGCCACCGATATTATTGATCACCGTATCGTGACTCTCGCGATTTTCCAAGTGACAACTTGTTAGATACATTGTAATCAAGGTTTATTGACGAACGAGCAACGGATAGAACGTTCTCGTCAAGATCTCGATGGTATGAAGTCCCGATCAAAGTTAAGAGACAAAAATCACAGGCGTGCAGTGTCTATTTGATCGATTATTATAAAAAAAAAAAGTAAAGAAGAAGAACCTGTTTCTTCCTAGCGTACCGAACGGAGTATCATGATTCCACGGAATTCCAGCTCCCCTCCCCCTATTATTAGAAAAAGAATCGGCCTCCGGTGGTGGACTTTCCCAAAGAAAGTAATTGTTCGATGGATGAGGGATAACAGATTCCTTCGAGTTTTTGTACGTTGCCTGGTCTCTTCTCGGTTCTCACAATCAGAAGCGGTATTAGTGCTCCGGGACCGTGTCTCTAATCACGTAGCCGTAGTCATGCGCGTAATTGTTCTTAATGTACTTTTTGTGGGAAATAAGCCGATTACGATGTAAGCGTATGAACTTAGCCTCGAAGGAAAGCGCCGTGGAACGTCGATCGACGCGCCGGGGCACGTAGAAACGGGAACGACGAGCGGTGCGCCGGGGTAGAGGTGGAGGGGAGGAGATGGAGAGAAAAAAAAACCACCGGCGAGTTGTAAATTGACGGAAATTGTTTCGAGATGATTGGTATTAGCTGTACTCTCGACCCGATGCCTCTCTTGTCAATGGAGGCCCTCCTCTCGGCCGAGGCAGCTGGAAACTGACAAATGGCTGTAATTACCGTTTTTTCCTCGCCGATGATCGTAACTCGACGAACATCGGCCGCGGCAACATTTAATCACCGACACTCGTTTAAAGTGTCCAATAACACGATGAGGGACGAAGTCCCGTTTCCGCGCGACTCGTTGTTTGGACAAACAATAACGATGGAACGAGATACCACCGTGTGTAATTTCACAGAACGAATTAGACGGAAACAAAAACAACGAAAAATCTATAAACATTGGGAAAGAGGAGGGGGACCAGTGAAATATAATCGACGGAAGTGTCGAAACGATCCGCTCTGACCGCTCCGCGGTAATCGTTGCTCAGGATTCCATTAGCTCCAAGAAACCACACGGTGGCCCTCTAATTAGGGGACACGCCGAAAACGAAGAATCGCCGGATCGTTAAAAACCGCGCGCGCACGCCGTTCTATCGAGATTTCGAAAGCTAAGAATCGATCACAGGACGATTACGGCTGGTTGGATCAGCGTCGTTAAGGGTCGACAGTCGCGAGGATCGGTCATTTAATGGAAAGGCAACGGGTTAAACGTCGCGATAGGTCGAAAGGAAAAAAATTAATGGATAACCTGCAAGGCATCGACACTCGTATACCGTCGTTGCTCTTGTTCGAAAAACAAGAATGTGATTCCATACAGAGGTAACTACCGACCAAAGGTATGGGACCAGGTCTGATAATTAACGACAGAAAAAAAATAATATTCTACAAAGATGTGATAAATTGCAATGTGCTATAATTGATTGCAAACGATTTTGCACAAGTACTGATTCCGTAACTTTTATTATATCGTAACCGAATAACGAGTTACCGTTCCATTAATCATATACTGTGGTCCCATACTTTCAGCCGATAGTGTATTTCACGATCGGCGAATCTTTTCGACGGTCATAGAATATTGGGAACGGGTAATCGTACGCGGCAAGACAAATTAATCGAGAATACATTGTGAACCATGTTCGATAGCGATCGTCCCTGGCAGAGAAGAGAGAGAAGGACAGCCGTTTCAGGTAGAGAAGTTGAATGAAACAAATGAGGGTAACATAATTAAAGCGTTCGAGCGGCGTAGGCCCGATTTGAGACCATTAGAATTCCTAAACGATGTCGGGACAGAGGAGGGGCTGCCCGGCAGAGAGAAAAGAGGATCTTTTATCTCTCGGGAAATATCTGATCCTCGTACCCGGCCCCTCTCGTAGGTACGTACTATACGCGTCGCGTTTCGTCGCTCGCAACCACCGACGGGTCCCGGCCCCGACACGATCCCGGTCCGAGTGGAACATCCGGTCGGGATGGTCCGCCCCATAAATGTCCTTGACACCTCCGTGAAAGTCCACGCGGGAGCGGCCAGGTTGAACAAACCGACTTGGCTAAATTAATTTCGCGTCTCCTTCTTCCTTCCCCCTACCCCCTGATTCCTTGTCTCGTTCTGCTTCTTCTGACGCGTACAATTAACAAACCGTCGACGATCGTTTGCCTCTTGTACGCGACGAATACTCGAATCTCGGTCGCCAGCCTGATATACAAATATACCTATATACATATGTATACATCCCATTACATGGTAACGACTTAATCGCTGACTGGTTTCGCGGAAATATTTACCCACTCGGCCCGGCGACGAGAGACCGCGATAAGAAACATAATTGACCGCTTACCATTAGAAGTAACGGAAGCGCCGTCGTGATGACTCGCGTCGCTATCCTCGTCGAGGTTGCTGTTGTTCAAGGATGTCCTGGACTGATGCCTGACGCTCAGATCCCTGGGCGTCGACGGCGGGCTCCCGGGTGGTTCCTGCGTCTGCATACCGGCTGCCTGATGGTTCATCTTGCTCGACGCCCCGCTAAGTATATCGGTGATCATGAATCGCGATCTCTGCGGCATCGTGGTCGCGGCGTCGCCCCGCTCCAAACCATTGTTATTCCCGTGATTGTTGTTCCTGCCGTCGAGACCGTTCGACAAACGTTCCACGCTGACCCCGTTCCTCTCGACGATGTTCTCCAGCCTGTGCGCCTCGAGGCCGGACATCCTGCTCAGATTCAGACCACCGTTATTGGCCACGGTGACGCCGCTCAGAGCAGCCACGTGGTGGTTCTGATGATGATGGACCGTCATCACGGTACACGTAGGTGGTTCCCTCGGGCTACGGGCACCTGCAGGTGCCTCTGTCGCCACCCCAGGACTCGCCCTGTACCTGGGAGACAGAATCTTGTCGACGGTGACGGCGTCGCGTTTCGGGGTCAGTAACTCGTTATTTTCTTTTTGCTTGTTCTTTCTTTTTTTTGTCACCGAAACCTCTCAACGGCAACTACACTTCACTGTTGCACGTATCGGGTCCTGTGTTCCCGTGCCACGGTGCCCTCTCCATCGGTGTCTGTCCCCGTGACGTTACCAACATTCCTATGGATCGAACGTTCCGTTCGCTCGGGAATAATCGGGTTCGAAAAGGCTTCCTTCGTTTTCGCGTGTCCTCCGTGTGGTCGGCTTGCAACGGGCAAATCCTATCGGGCTCGCCGAAAATCCTCCGGTCGATTTCGACGCGTGAATCGCGAGGAAATGGCGCGTGAGATGGTCGCGACGATGCACCTTGCGATTCCTTTGGTTCGCTCCGCCTCCGCCGGCACCTTCTTCCTCCTCGTCTTCTTCGTCCCGGCCGCAATTAAGGGGCCGCTTCGTTGGTCTCCTTGGTTAATTGCTAATTGGCCACTTAACATAATTGCCACGCGTAACAGCCAGTCCGTCGGCCATTTCCGCTTTCCTTTTTCTCCCTTTCCGCGGCCGTTTAATTACGGATTACTTTTTTTCCTCTCCTTTTTTCTTAGCGACAACCGATGCTCAGCAGACGGTTCCCTCTCGCTTTTTCCACCCGCGATGATAATGCGCGGCCCGAACCCGGAGTGTGTTACACGCGAAACAATCCCGCGATGGCTGTTAAAGGCTCGATGTCACGCCAGGCTGTAAGTTGCCGTTTCGAGCCCACCCCCTGGGTTAATCGCTCTTATGACGACCGTGGTCCGTGAACGAGAAACCACGATCGAGCCAAGGAACCAGCGCAGCCTCGAGGTGCCAACCCACGGAGCCTCTCGATAAAGACACAGACACACACACTTTCTCGATATATTCGACCGGCCACGATCGCGCCAGGGATCGCGCCGCTGGCGATTAATGGACAGTCACCCGAACCGGTTTATCAAACTCTCCGGTACGTGGGCCTCACACCGCTCACCGAAACATCCAGGTGTCCTTTATTCGTATCACTCCTCACACGTACAACTTCTCGAGGTCCACTTTAGTCCTTACGATCTTCTATTCCTTGGAAACACGCGACAATTTCCGCGAACGCGATTCCACGATTTTGATCCTGGCGTGAAGAAGAGTGTGTCCTTGAACGATTTTCCCGTGTCACCCTTCGACGGTAATGACACCTGCCAGCGAAACCTTCGATTAGTGATTCTCGCGCACGACCGACCGATTCGTCTGGTCGACGAAGACGATCCACAATGGGCACACACGGGCTAGCCCTCGAAACTCGCGGGAAACTTTGTAATACGATCCGTGATAGAGCAAGGGAGGGAGAGAGAGAGAGTGCACGTCCGATTGTGGCAGACGTCAGGAACGTACTCTTGGCGAGGCGTGCGTGTGCATCGGGTTGCCTCGACTGATCTCCTCGCACTGAACGAACGTCAGGCGCCTCCGCTCCCTCCTGGGCGGCCATATCGGCGTTACGGCACGCCCTGTCCGTTCCCCTCCACTTCTGAATGCCGACCAATCCACGTGAGCGGCGCTAACTAGCCGGCCAATCCGACACGCCGAGACCACGGCGCCTTCGCTTCGTGGCGCGGCTACGCCCAACTAATTTGAAATGTGTTTCAGCGGTAATTCGATATAAAATTGTAGTTAATATCTTTCATTATAGCGCTGGGTAGGGGACCCCTCCGGCGAACGTTGGTGGGGCTCGTCTCGACGAAGAGGAGAGGGGGTTGATCACCAGTGGCAGAGAGGGGGAGGGGGTTGCAAGGAGGAGAAGGACAGGGGAGAGATTGATACGGGGGATCTCCCACTTCGACTTGTTTCTGGCTGCTCTCGTTCCTCTCCTCTGTGTGTCCGTGCCCGAGATCGGTTCACGGAGCAGTCGAGCGGTAGGAGAGGCCCGACGCGACCACCTGGAAGGGGTTGAAGAGCCATCGAAGCCGAAGGGTGGTCTCCTAAACTCCGTGCTTCTATCGCGCGAATTGAACGGGTCGACTACGTAGCCTGTTCCTAAAATGTTCGGCTAAACTTCCGCCCGGCGTATACTAACGATCGAATACCGAATGGACAACAGTGTCGTGTAGAATTGTGCGAACCGAATGTAATATCGCTTTACCCCCAGATGTAGATACTGTTTAATTTAATCGAAATCATTGATTGGTAAGTGTTCCATACGGGTCGGAGAAATTTCTAGTTCTAGATACGATAAATTTCTAGTATGTTTCTCGAACGGTAGTCATTGTCGTTGACTTCGTTATCTGGATAAAGAGTTTCGAATAACAAATAGAAGAAAAAACAGTGTTTCGTTATTTTCGATCAACTGAACGTAGAAATTCCAATATTTATAACAAGATTATATTTCTTCTTTAATGAGTAGACACTTGGCGAACAATTATTTAATCTTGTTAACCGTTTAACGACCATGAAACTGTGCCCACTGGACGGCAGATTTGGGCACAATGATGCATAGTAAAAATCAGCAGTATCTAAGATCGTCATTCTCACATAAAATAATTATGTGTGAAGGGTCTATTCAAGAAGAAATCTTATCACAAAAATACAGAATATACACGTTTAATCGATTGAAAATAGCGAAATGCCATTTTTCTCTTTTATTCGTCATTCCCTTCATCTAATTAAGGAATTTGTCCCATCCTGCTGGACGGTATAGATCAGTAGAATGTACCAGCGAGACTTTGGTCAGACACGTCAGTGGACAATTCGAGCGCGTTTCTATAGCCGTACTATGACGGACGTTTCTACTTATTGCATCTCTCTATTCGTTTCAATACGATCATTCAAATCGAGCCAGAATTTCACGAGAACACGGTGATTCGGATGCATTCGAAAGAGCCGACTTTCCACCAAAAATTTCGCCAGCAACGCACTCACTGAATCGAATTCTAACGACCATCTGGTGTGTCGAAGGTGTTTCTCTCCCGGCTTCCGGCGGATTCCCCGTGAATCGACCCAGCTCCGTGCCGGCTGTTCTGGAAACAACGACTCAGTCCTCCCTTTCTCTCTCTCTCTCTCTCTCTCTCTCTCTTTGTGTCCATTTTTCGAAATCGCCCGCGGCGGCGGTAACACGTTCACGCTTACGAAACAATGTCGCGCCGCGCCGATCGCCGTTCCGGCCATAAAGGAATAATTATTCCGCTATCAGTCGGCACCGTGCACGAATCGAATTAGCCACGCGGCAGTGGGCCGAAACGGAGGAATTATTTGAAATTAGGGGTAGCGACATCATTTAATTAAGGGAGCCCAGGGTATACCGATAGGCGGTGCCCTCTCGTATTTACACGGCCAGCCCATATGGCGCTAACGCAAGACAATCCTTTTTTCTCGTTTTGTCGCAAAGCGACAATAATGTATGCTTAACACGGGCTGAATGTTCGCTCTCGAAACTGGTCATTTATGTGTGGCCCTGTTCGAGTTGCACGACGTGAGAATTGATTATACCGGTCGATAATTCGCGAGGAATTTTAAGATACTCCCAGGATCAGAGATCAGTTATGGAAAGAAAAGGCGAAACTTGTTTCACCAAACGAGCAGTTTGTGAAATTCCAATGGTGAACCCGTTTAGTACCTCTCGAGGGCACCACCCACTACCATTGTCACGAGCGCGCAACTATTCGCGCTATCCACGCTGCGTGACGCGTGCCATTAAACGGCGACCATTCCCAGGGTAGAAAAGAAAAAACAGAAGTCACGTATCTCAAACGTTCATTTTCCTCCACCTCCCCCCCCCCCCCCCCCCCCCCCCCCCTTCTCTCATGAAAACAGAATGGTCTTGGTCCGATGGAAAAACAGGTTAACGGAGCCTGTAATGAGACTATCAAACCGTGACACGATTTAAACCTCGAGCAGGCAACGCGAGTTAACCAGCTCGGCTGCTTAGTTTTCCACCCTTCGTTTGCACCTACGCTCGTGCTGCCCTTTTCCGGAACTCGCGCGTATATATGTAATGCACGCCGCCTGATTATAATTTCTGCCACGGCGCACCTGGAACGTAGCATTCGCTTGTAGGCGGCTCGTTGAAGGAACACGGGAATTAGTCACTCGTGCATCGTGGTGGCGGAGAACGGCGACGAAACGAGAAATGCTCGAGGAGAATGTGTGCGACGGGACAGTTTCGTCTTTGTCGTTGTTCGACGGAATTCCACGGAGGATTTATTCTTCTTTCGCGGATTTGAATATTGAAAAAGAAAAATGAAATTTCTCATTTTTGTTTTCGTTAACTTGAGCGAATTAATATGGACGCACATGTTGCATATACAGCGTAGACCCAGTGCATCCAGGTGTCGGTTATTAAATATACATGAGAGCCTCGGCGCTCGGGTCGGAAGAAGTGAAAAGTTAAAAGCCTTGAAATTGTTTCCATCAACTCCCGATTAACCCTCATGAATTCCATGACCGGTCCCCGTTCTAGCTCAATTCAGAACAATTCCCAAAATGTTCTTCGAAGGTTCTCGCCGATTAAACGGTCTCGCGAAACCAACACTACGCATTAACATAGTTTATTCCATACGTTCTGAATTAGGAAAAAGAAAAAGAACAGTTCCAATGCTCGTGACGAGAACTTTCAAATGTTGCCCCCACCCCACTCCTCCTCGAGCAATAAAACAAACCACCCCAATAACCTAATTCCCGGGATGTTTCACGTACGCTTTACGTACGGCAGTAAAAGGGAAAACTCTTTGAAAAAAATTGTTACAAATCGCTCGTAAAGCTGGCTTTACGACGGAGTAAATTTCGTAAAGCTCTCGCCAGGCTTCCGGCAAATCGCGTCACGAAAGGTCGCGTTTCTGTTCGAAGCCAAGGCGTATATGTATAGGTGTAGGTATACGTACCTTACGGATATCTGG